ACTTCCGTGTGAATCATGATTTTCAAATTGTTCATCGGCTGGTCACCAAATATTACGGCCACACTAGATGGACACGTTTTTTTTCTGAAGCCCAATAAAATATTTCTGCATGTCAAGCGCTGTTCGATTTTTTACAGGGCATGTGGCTCGTTTTCATTCGAAAATATGTTTGTGAGAATACTTTTAAAGTACATATAGATCGAGCTCAGATCACTGATCGTGACTTAATTTTGAGAATTGGTTGTCAAATTTTACCAGACCGACGCCACTACAACCATCCAATCATATGTTGGAAATGTACGCACTTGTTTTGGAACTTTGTATCAAGATGACTGGCGACGACGCCGACGCTCTAGGCGGCATACGCGTGTATTGCATGTTTTAGTAGTCCGGGCATAGGTGCATGAGATAGGTGCATGTTGTGTCACTCACATGAGATAGGTGCATGTTGTGTCACTCACTTGAGATAGGTGCATGTTGTGTCACTCACTTGAGATAGGCGCATGTTGTGTCACTCACTTGAGATTGATGCATGCATGTTACTTGAGTATTAATGCATGTTGTTCCACTCACTTGAGTGGTTTGTCCGTTTCAATGGCTTGTTTATTATGCAAGTGGTTTGTTCCTTTCATAGGATTGTTTACTATTCAGGTGGTTTGTCCATTTCAATAGAAAAGTGATCAAATTTGCTCAGTGTTATTAGTTTCATTTGGGCTTATCAGCACATATGTGCACACATCTGCACCAGTTGTTGTATTGAGTTTCAGGTTGAGAACTTTCGCTCAAGTTTCTGCAGGTTTCAAAATATAACTCCATGTTTGTCAAAAGTTATCAGGAAAATGTGTGGTAAATTCAGCAAACGGCAGGAAATCCACAGCCTCAACTATTGCCGTCAAGATCAACCATCTCGTTGCAAATTTAGTGCTGCCCCTTTGTTGGTTTATGTATGTCTGTTCCACACTGAAGTCTCAAGAACCAGTCATCAGATTCAATGAAACTTTATACATATAGATGATCTGGAGCAATGTGTGCAGATCTTGATGAAGGTAAAAATCCATTCATAATACCTGTAATTACTTCTTTTGATTACTGAAAAACAAATTTTGCTGCTGATATATTAGAGATGTTACTGAAGATGTAATTGTGATGCAGTCAAGAAATTCAGTGTTGGAATACAACTGGGAATTTGAATATTTATGATGATAGTCATAGACATTCTGGACAAAAGAATAAGCCACATCACACATTTAAATGCATTTATTTAGAAATTTATCTAAAATCCATACAAATTCCAAAATACAGACGGGATTGATAAAATTCCAATTTAGATCACATATGAAAATTGATATTTTGGTATTCCATCAGACTGTGGCATTTGTGAGTCATGTTGGATGAGAGTTGTGGAAGATGAATTTCATTTTCTCTCAGTTTACCCAAGATACATTGTGATTAGAAGCGAAATGCAAGGGAGTGGCAGTGACAAATTTATCTTGCGTCATCACAGAAGTTATTTTTGCCTTGGCCAAGCATCTTTGTGTTTTTGACGGAGCAGTGCGATACATACATTAAACTTCCTATATGTGGTATTCATATGTAGTACTAATTATGGAAAGGAAAGATTACATGTTATGTTATTATTATGAATGTCAGCAAATTTCTTTGTTGTTAGGTCAGGAGACAGAAAGCACTAGAAAAGGATCCCCCCCACCCCCCGACTATGAATAGCGCGACAAATATTGGACATAACAAAAATCATAGGGTGTAGTTATAAAAGTCTTACGATTGTCACAAATTACTGAGATTCCGATTCTGAATACTATTTTTTCAAGAACCGATTTAACATTAATTCCAGTAGAAATTGCTTCAAAATAAATATTTCTGACAGGATAAAGAAACAAGCAGCCTCTCGGCTAAAATAGCTATACTGAAGATATTAGAAAATGAACAATATGTATAGTATCAAAGCAATTGGACTTGCTGTTTACAGCAAGAAGTCGAAAATATCACGTTTTATCAAAATATTCATCAAAATTAGATAATTGAATCACAAAATGAACAAATCTTAGAGACGTCTACCTGTTGTACCTACATTGTATATGTATAGTATCAAAGCAATTGGACTTGTGCTTTTCAACCAAAAATTACAAAAATATTCACCAAAATTAGAGAATTAAAGATATCATGAAATGAACAAATCTAAGAGAGGTCTGCCCAAGGGAGATATACACCAAGTATTAAAGCAATAAGTATTGTAGTTTTCAAGAAGAAGTCGAAAAAGTAAAAAGTTGACACGGACGATGACAGACAATCACTTGTACGATAAGCTCTGCTCGACCAAGTCAAGAGCGGAGCTAAAAAAAATAATGTTGACACATGAATTCACATCTGCTCAAAATCACTGGTCTGCAGTAATTCACAACAAAGGTGGATCAACTAAACTTTGCACAACATATTTGATTCCATTCTACTTGCAGGTTCGCATAATCTTTCAGATGACAAGTACAACAAACAACAATTTGAGCATTTTATTAAATTGTTACTACTAAAAAATAACATTAATAATAATTACTGTTGAAAACCCTATTTAAACTACAAGGGAGGCAATCCCACACTGTAAAATTACTTCAGCTCAACCAATGAATGTACTTTTTTGTAAACCATGACAGTAAAATATTGGCCAAAATATGCAAATTGCAATAATTTTAGTCCCTTGAAAGTTAAATATCTTGGCATACATTTTTCACAGCACCAATTCTACAAGCGTATAATATTAACAAAAAACATTCTCCATGTTCAGAAAGTTTCAACAGTGTACATCACCTAGTATTATACAAATTAAAGTATTTATCGTTCCTGTAAGAACTTTCAGTTTGTAATCTACAATATGATTGGCTATGATTAATTGCAACAATACCAATCAAGTGATAGATGACATCTCTTGCACATGAAGAATAACAAATTTAGAAATCAGTTTTCCACACTTCTTCCAGGATTCACACATTTTAGCAACAGTCAATATCAAGAAATGGTAACTTTTCAAATAACTGTCATTTGTGAAGGACATGTTTCTATACTGCAAAAAATTTCAGCAGTGACATGAAGCATATTCCCTTTGTATAATCTATTCAAAATATCCGGCAAAATTGGCTAATGCAGTATCACAAGAGTAGTTTTCAGAGCTTGATGAAAGTGCAGTACCTAAACACAAAGTGTGAACATTTCAGTTTTAGAAACCAATTGCTATACATCATAGCTACAGTTAACAGTTCAATTTTGCACTTTTTAACAACTCGCGAAAATAATTTAATTATAAACAACCAAGCCAACAATCATTATTGAAGAAACAAAGAGTTGCTCTTCCATTCTCCCAATCCTGGTTAATCTGACACACAAGAGTGTTTTGCTTGCACTCATTGCCTCAAAATCCTGACATACAAGTACACATGAAATTGTTTTTTTGGTGCACAACAGTTTTTTTTTTTTTTTAGGATTCCCATAGACAGTAGTGCATCGTCTCTAGAGAAGTGGGGAGGATGGCACTTTGTTGTTTTTGTCGCCCCCCCCCCCCAATACTTGAATCAAATTTCCCAAACAGGTCCCAGTCAATTTTTTTTGGTTTAAAGAAAGCATGATCTCATTTTTGTGAAAAGTGGCAAAGGTTTACTTTGTCGTTCAACAAAGGCTATGGAAGAAAAAGTTTCAATCCACCAGGTCGGATACAAAATATTAGTCATTGCCAAATGTCACAAAATAGTCTGGGGGGTTTCAAAATTTTTTTTAAATCAGTACATCACCCCCCCCCCCCCACTATGTGCTGTTGCACTGATAAAGACAAGTCATCAAAATAGGAAAGGAAGCAACAGTCTCATGCAGCCAAAACCTTTGAAGAGCCATGAAGCTGCACTATGGGATTCAACAAATAGGATCAAATGAAGATGAACACTTGTAATTACATGCCTTTGTTTTGGTGAAACGACTACAGATAAATTCACAAGCTGAACACAAGAACATGCGTATATACATCAACAATTGTCAAAAGATTGACACTATTCAGCTAACACCCTTCTCCCAAATTTAATTTCACAAATGTCTATAAAAGTGCCCTAACATCTAACACATTTAGGTCTGGAAAGGCAAGAAAAAAAAGGAGAAAGATAGGTAGTAGTAAAGCCCTACAAGGCTTTGGTAAACTAATATAAAATACTTGTAGTTTACAATTTAACAAATTGTATCATTAACATTCTGCATCTCAATTGGTTCTACCGTGCTCCCCCCACCCCGATCATAAGCCTAGGGGCATAAACTTGTAATATGCCTTTTTTTTTATTTTTTTTTTAAGACACTTAACAATGAAGAAACAAAAGTGTTCATAATAATGCACACATTTTATTAAAATACAGTTTACATACCGTCTGAATTTACGGTGTAAAAATGGGTTGGGAAAACAGTCAAAGGCAAGATCATTATCATAGTTGTGGAATGTTTTTGATTGTTCACAAACTCAAACACAAAGCAATTTCCGCCATGATGCTTTTCATCACGATTTGACATGAAACAACTTCCAACAGGTCACGTCTAAGAATAGTTTACTTGTCACACAATAGTCTCAATGGTCAAGATTATTCGGAAAAGTAAAACTATGTTCTATGACCAGGTTTCACGACTTGATCACATTTTTGGCATTTCGATAGTTACTACTCGATGAAATATGGATTACTTCAGTATTGCAACATCAGGGTTCATTCTGAGTGAATGACATAACAGAAAATGTATATTTACTATGCTGCGTACAGTCACTTGCCATGCACTCTGAAATTAATGCGAGTATTCTCATAAAAGCAGGAACCAAACTACTGTACCAATTACAATTTTTATGCAATGAAACACTTTATACTTACACATTTTAGTAAATGTCATTGACGCCCCGACAAAAACACCCTGGGCCTATACTCGGGGATGCTCTCAACTTGTTAAATGTCTAAAAACAGAGGGTGTGGGCTTATACTTGGGGAGGGGCTTATGATCAGGAAAGTACGGTATCATCAACAGAACACAGTTTTTAAAGATGCTTACACTTTATAACTGTATGCAGAGATTAGGCAAGCTCTCATTACAGAACTACAGATACATCTCTTGTTAGAAGTCTTCAAGTAGACGGGGCAGCTGAACACCTCTGCAGACAATTTTGGAGATTATTATAAAACTTTACATACAATTTCATAAGAAGCAATGACTTTACATTGCAGTTGATAACACATTTAAAATAACTATCCTCGCGGCACTGTTCCAAACAAGAGTCCAGAGAAAACAATGTAGTGTCGTTAATTGGAAACGTCCGACTATGTCCCATACACATCAAGTTTATTTATTATTATATATTATACCATTAAAAAGAAGGCTTTTTTTGTTACAGCTCCCATCATTTCACTCTGATTATGATTGCAAAGTAACTGATATATTAAGTGGAACCAGCAAAGAGATTCTACAGCCATCCACGGAAGTCGGAGGACCATCGGACACATTTATTTTAAAATTTTGAAAGAGTCTGTTATATCTCAGTTTGACAACATCATGATTCTTCATTGCCTGAATCATCGTCATCGTCATAAATATTATCATCATCATCATCAACCTCATTGTCATCGTCATCATCATCAAGGTCATAATCATCATCATAGAAATCTGCCATGTCCATAGTACTATTCTGTGGCGTTTGAATTTTTGTCTTGATACAATAATCCTGTAGGGTTAAAGGCACTTTTACCCCATCTTTGTCAGCATCTGCCTTAGTAGCAGAAACTTGTTTCCTGCAATGAAAAATTAAATTAGTTGAAGCAAGTTTTCAAATCTTTTCTCCAAGCGCTTTTAGTAGAGTGCTGAGCTATGCAGCACTCGCCTTGAATTCACAACATTCATTTTCACGAAGAAAACTACTGACATTTTAAGCATATTCACTGTGTTTTAATTTCACATCGAGTTTTGTTATTTTACACAGATTTAATTTAGAGAATTTTACCTGAAAGTGAAAATAACAAAATTAAAACCCGGTGAATAATTAATGCATTTACAGTATGTAAACTGACTTGCAAAAGACACAAGTATTTGGTTGATAATGTTGATATTATGCAAATAAGATAATTACCAGATTCTGCCGTAAATTCGCCCATCCGAAAAAACGCCCTGAGCGATTTCATGGCTGGTGGACACTTATTTGGGGTTCAAAATTTCGTAAGATAATTAAAAAAATTTTCATTGAAAAATCCTACTATGCAGACTTTCAACGCCATCAGTTGGGCCACCCAGACGAAAGAAAGTATTGCAGAAACTAATCTAAATTTTTTTTCTTCCTGAATTAAAAAGTAGACCGCCTAAAATTTCATTACAATGTCACCAAGAGTTTTTCAAATACATTTTTTTTTATTTTACTGGTAACGAAAGTATATTCTAAACGAGGTTTCAAACAAGCAGCCTGTCGGCTGAGATAGCTCCGCTGTTAGCAATGCACATGGCAATTAAAGAACAGAAGATATCATTAGAAAATGAACAAATCTGAGAGAGGTCCACATGTAGTACCTATATGTATAATATATCAAAGCAATTGGACTTGTGGTTTTCAACAAGAAGTCGAAAATATCACTTTTTACCAAAAATTACAAAAATATTCATCAAAATTAGAGAATTAAAGATATCATCACAAAATGAACAAATCTGAGAGAGGTCCACATGTAGTACCTATATATGTAATATCAAAGCAATTGGACTTGCGGTTTTCAACAAGAAGTCGAAAATATCACTTTTTACCAAAAATTACAAAAATATTCACCAAAATTAGAGAATTAAAGATATCATTACAAAATGAACAAATCTGAGAGAGGTCCACATGTAGTACCTATATATGTAGTATCAAAGCAATTGCACTTGCGGTTTT